GAGATAACATCACTATGCAATTTTGTCACATTCCTAACATAAAACATAGAATAATAAGATTTTGAAAGGACCTCAGAGGTTTTTCTAGTCCAACCCACTAATCGAGCAGGAGACCCTGCACCATTTCAGACAAAGATGCAGCAGCTGCAAGCTTGTTGTAGCGAAAGTTACCGGAGCCACTCCCCTTCTTAAATGTGCCGCCGCCATCGCCACCTTGTTCCATGCACATGCGCACACCCTTGCCTGCTGCCACTGATAAATGATGAATGAATAAATAAACGGTGTGCTCATGCGTGCCCAGCACATGGAACAGTGTGCCAATGCCAGCAATGTTCTTTAAGAAGGGGAGCAGCTCTGGTAACTTTTGCTACAAGAAACCTGCAGCCTCTGCATCTTCCGGCAGAAGAAGAATCTCCAGGCTGACCAGAAAAAAGAGGCTGTGGCTGCAGGCATCTTGTGACAAGAGGGGCAAGATATGGGCTGGCGGGGAGCCTAGTGGTAATGGTTCAACCCTGGCTTACCTTCCCTGGCAGCCAGCTGTGGGAGGAAGGTAAGGAGATGTCACGTGGCAAAGGGAGAGCAGGCAGTGGGCGGTGAGAGGGTGGCAGCTCCAGACAAGGCCGGAGCCAGGGAATGATGCATTCTCTGACCCAGTTGAGGTTGCCAGCAAGCAGGCAGTGGTTCAGGGGCAAGGCCAGAGCCATGAAATGATTCATTCCCCCACCTGGTTGAGACGGGTGGCAAGCAGGCTGCAGCTCTAGGGCAAGGCCAGAGCCGGGGAATGGTGCATTCCCCATTCCTGTCAAGACAGACAGCGAGTGGGTGGCAGCTCCAGGGCCTCAGAGAATCACATGTACCTGTGCCACAGCCCCCAACCAAAGGTGAAACGTGAACAAGGAGCATGCATTGCTTACCTTTAGTGAATTGAGCAGGCGAGGCAACTGGCGAGGCATGTAGCTGGGTCACATGGCAAAGGAAACTTATATAGGGTGGGAGAGGGTGGGTGGGCTGAGCAGGCAGAAGCAGCAAGTGAGCCGGAAGGGGCAAGTGAGCCGGAAGGGGCGAGAGGGCGAGCAGGTGAGTGGGCATGCATGCATGGGCAGGACCACCAGGGATGTTTGCTACTGATTCAGCGAACTGATGCCAATCATCCCTACCAGTTTGCCTGATCCGGGCCGAACCGGTAGGATTATACCCCTGCTGTAACTGTTCTTGGTATCTTTTAGCCTCCAGACCCCTTACCATTTTTTTTTGCTCATCTCTACAGTCTTTCCAGAGTTTCAATATCTTTTGTATATTGTGGCTTGACCAGAACTGGATGCAGTATTCTAAATGTGGTCTTACTAAGGCTTTGTAATATTGGACCTTCATGTGATCTTGATTTTATCCCTTTATTAAAACAGTCTAGGATTGCATTGGCATTTTTGTCTGCTGCCACACATTGTTGGCTTATAATTAAGTGATTGTCCACTAGGACTCCAAGATCCTTCTCACAGTTACTGGCATTAAGCCAGGTTTCACATATCTGTACCTATACTGTTGATTTTCCTGGCCTGTTTCTATCTATGTTGAATTTCATTTTGTTAGGTCGGGGCCCATGTTCAATATGTCAAGAACTTTTTGGATCTTGAGCTTGTCTTCTGGAGTGTTGGCTATTCCTGCCAGCTTAGTGTCGTCTTCAAATTTGATGACTTCTCCTTCAATTCCCTCGCCTAGAACTTTTTTGAAGATATTGAAGAGTGCTGGACCTAAAATGGAAGCTTGGGGTAGTCCATTGCTTACTTCCCTCCATGTGGATGAGGTTCCCCAGAGAACTACATGTTGAATATAATTTGTCAGCCAATTACAAAGCCACCTGATGGTGGTGGTGTTATCTATACCATATCTTCAAGAATGTGAGATAAGTACCGTATTTTTCACACTATAAAATGCACCTAACCATATGATGCACCTAAATTTAGAAGAGGAAAACAACAACAACAAAAAAAATGTTTTTGGCCTCTGCACACTCTATTTTTGGGGCTTTTTCAGGACTTTTTTCTTCCCGTTTTTTGAGGCTTTTTGTGTCCATTTTTGAGGTTTTTTGGCCTGTTTTTGAGAGTTTTCTCAGACCATTATGTGTGCTTTTAGGCCCATTTGTGAGGCATTTTTCGGACCATTTTTGATGCCTTTTTTGGGCCGTTTTCAAGGCTTTTTTTCACAATGGTGTTATCTTTTCCATGTTTTCAAGAATGTGAGATAATGAATTATTTGGATGAGGGGATAGATGGGGAACTCATCAAATTTGCAGATGACACCAAGCTGGCAGAAATAGCCAACACTCCAGAAGATAGGCTCAATATACAGAAAGATCTTGACAGACTTGAACATTGGGCATTATCTAACAAAATCAAATTCAATGGTAAAAAAAGTAAGGTTCTACATTTAGGCAAGAAAAACAAAATGCACAGGTACAGTATATGTGGTACCTTGCTCAATAGTAGTAACTGTGAGAGGGATCTTGGAGTCCTAGTGGACAATCATTTAAATATAAGCAAGCAGTGTGCAGCAGCTGCCAAAAGAGCCAACACAGTTGTGGGCTGCATAAACAGAGGAATAGAATCAAGATCACGGGAAGTGTTAATACCATTTTAAAATGCCTTGGTAAGGTTACCAAGTATTCCATACTTGGAATACTGCATCCAGTTTTGGTTGCTATGATGTAAAAAAAGATTTTGAGACTCTAGAAAGTGAGCAGAGAAGAGTAACAAAGATGATTAGGGGACTGGAGGCTAAAACATATGAAGAATGATTGCAGGAATTGGGTATGTCTAGGCTAATGAAAAGAAGGACTAGGAGAGACATGATAGCAGTGTTCCAATATCTCAGGGGCTGCCACAAAGAAAAGGGAGTCAAGCTATTCTCCAAAGCACCTGAGGGTAGGACAAGAAGGAATGGGTGGAAACTAATCAAGGAGAAATGCAATCTAGAGATTCTCCTACTAAGGAGAAATTTCCTGATAGTTACAGCCATTAATCAGTGGAACAACTTGCCTCCAGAAGTTGTGAATGCTCCAACAGTGGAAGTTTTTAAGAAGATGTTGAATTGCCATTTATCTGAAGTGGTGTAGGGTTTCCTGTCTAAGCAGGGGTTGGACTAGAAGACCTCCATGGTCCCTTTCAACTCTGCTATTCTATTCAATTCTATTCTATTCTATTCTATCCTATCCTATTCTACTCTATTCTATTTTATTCTATTCTAAATATTTGAGAAACAGCTGTAAATTCCTGCAGAATGACTGAAAGAAGCTTCCCATGAAATGCTGAATTAATCTGTTTCAGACTGTAGTGGTGATTTGAAGAGGTTAAATTATTCAGAATACCTCCAATCCAGAATAACAGCAAGAAAAATATTGAATAAAGGCTCAAATTGGAATGTTTTTTTTAATGTTTCTGCAGCTTCATAGGTTCCTGAGAAACTTCCAACATCACAATATTTCCAGAGATGGGATTTCTTTTGATGAAAATGGAGTTCCTGTTGGTGACTTTGATATCATGCAGTGGACAACAGCTTTGGACAAATCAGATGTGGGGGTGAAAATTGGGACTGTAGAAAGACAAGCCTCCTCGGAAGTCAAGATTTCTGTCAATCAAAGTGCCATCCAATGGCCAACTTTATTTAACAAAGTAGTTGAGGCTGCTTGGATTTTGCTCTTCTATTTATCTCTATATGTGGGAATTTTTCTGCTCAGAAATAATTCTTATTGAGGCCAATTGAGATAACTTCCAATAAGAGAACTTAAAGCCTCATTAATTCATTAGATATCATTTTACTTTAGAGGTTTTACAATAATCTATCACACGCTGGAACCTGCTGCATTGTATTGCAAGATTTGCAATTTACATTATTAAACTGGAATATGTTGCCATAATTTATAGTACATCACATTATCTTATTTTCAGGAAGAGAAAATCCAGAATATCTATGGAGATTCTCAGTCATCCAGGTCATGGTTGTGCCACAGGTGCTTTTTCAAAAGTTACTTGGACTTTGTTTTCCCTTGAAGATGTTTCACTTCTAATCCAAGAAGTTTCTTCAGTTCTGACTGAATGGTAGAGGATAGAAAGATTTGGAACTGCTAAAAAGACTCTTTGTAAACAGGATATAGATTCAGCAATTGCAGGAAGATTCCACACCCATTTGCACTATTCACGTGACCCTGAGGGCAGAGATAAACTCCAAGTGGCCTCAACAACTTTCAGAAAGACAGCTAACAACCAGATGACTGTAAGAAATATAAATCCTTCCATACTTCACCATTCAGTCAGAACTGAAGAAGCTTCTGGAATGAGAAGTGGAATGTCTTCAAGGGAAAACAAAGATCAGTTGTCTTTTGAAAAAGCACCTTTTTGAGAAAAATCCAGAATATGAAGGGTTTATCCCATTGAATTGCATAAGAGAAAAATAACATTAAGAATGTGGTGAAGGAAATGTGGGCAGCTAAAAAGGTCATTTACATATGATGATACAATGATCAGTTGTAGGAGAGAAAGATAGAGACTCTAGAAAAAGCTAGATGTTGGAGGTTTCCTGAGAAAGCAAAGATGGAGAAAAAATATATACCGTGTTTTTCGGAGTATAAGATGCACCTTAATTTTGGGGGAGGAAAGTAAGAAAAAAAAATTCTGACTGTGCCTACCAGCATCCATCAGTATTCTTCTGGCTAGGATCAGGAGTAACACCTTTTGTAATGGAACTACTTTCCTTTGGGGGGGGGGAAATAAGGCAATGAGACTTTTTGGGGATCTATGTTGGAGATTGATAGAGAAAGAGAATGACCTTTCATTGGCCCCTTGCAAGTAGAGTAATTAAAGTTCATGCCATTACTTCTTGACTCATTTTGCTCAATGTGGTCCTGAGCTTCTGGAAGCCAGTTGAGTTCAGTAATTCCTTCTAATTCATACAGTATATCACCCTGACTAATATTTCTGTTTAAATTTAGATGGTGCCTTATTCAAGATGTACAGAAAGTTGCTCCCCAGGTTATGCCAAGGTTGTGAGAGAGGGAGCCCCAGTTTGCTGCTATGACTGTTCTCTGTGTATGGAAGGAACGTTCTCTGTGCAAGGAGGTACAGTAGGTGGCTCCAAAAATAACCCATAAATGTTCAAGATACAATCAATAATTTATCTTGTTTTTTGGGGGGTATTTGATAAAAAAGCAAGAAAAACATTAAATTTCTTGAAAGCATACAAAAATCCTCAAAGATTGGGCACTATCGCCAAATTTGGATGATGATGTGAGCATTAAAATAAATAATGAAAGGTTGCTGATTTCTATTGAGTTGCTACTTTCTTACTTTGTTTTAGGAAAGACGTTTTGAGAGCTGATAATCACATTCATCTTCATTCATTCAGCTTTTAAAAAGAGTGTTAACTAATGTTGTGTAATATGAATATCCCCGGGCAGAAATATTATATTTTTCTTTGAAAATGAAGTAATTGATTTCTGATGCAGTTTTCATGCTCCTACAGCTGCAGAAACAGATTCATGCTAACTATTTTTTTCCACAGATGCAGCCCATTGTGAAAAGTGTCCAGATGACCAGTATTCCAATAAGAAGCGAGATCAGTGTGTCCCCAAAAATATAAGCTTCTTATCCTATCAAGAATTGTTGGGACTCATCCTGGCTTTCTTTGCCATCGCTTTGTCCCTAACCACCGCCTTTATTCTGGGAATCTTCATGAAATACCGAGACACTCCCATAGTCAAAGCCAACAACTGTGAACTCACCTACATCCTCCTGGTTTCGCTCCTGCTTTCTTTCTTGACCTCCCTTCTATTCATCGGTCGCCCCGTGAAAATGACCTGTCTCCTTCGACAAACCATTTTCAGTATTGTTTTCTCAGTTGCTGTGTCTTCCTTGCTGGCCAAGACTGTCATGGTGGTGGTGGCCTTTCTGGCCACCAAGCCAGGCAGCAGCATGAGGAAATGGCTGGGGAAGAATCTGGCCAACTCTGTTGTTTTATCCTGCTCTGGTGTTCAAGTAGGCCTCTGTATGATGTGGCTGGGAGTCTTTCCCCCATTCCCAGATTCTGACTTTCATTCCCAACCAGAACACATCCTGCTGCAGTGCAATGAAGGCTCTGTCACCATGTTCTACTCTGCTCTTGGCTACATGGGTTTTTTGGCTGCCATCTGTTTCTTGGTGGCATTTCTGGCTCGAAACCTTCCAGGGGCTTTTAACGAAGCCAAACTGATCACCTTCAGCATGTTGGTTTTTTGTAGCGTTTGGATCTCCTTTGTTCCCACATATCTGAGCACCAAGGGGAAATACATGGTAGCCGTGCAGATCTTCTCCATCCTGGCCTCTGGCCTGGGTTTACTGGGCTGCATCTTTATCCCCAAATGCTACATTATTATCCTCAGACCTGCCATGAACACCAAAGAACATCTCATGATAAAAAATCATTAAGTTTCTTTGTGTTGGGTTTTATTTTTGTACAGTTTACATCAGGGGTGAAATCTAAAAATTTTCTCTACCAGTTCTGTGGACGTGACTTAATTAGTGGGCATGGCTTGTTGGTCAGGTGACTGGGTGGGCGTGGCTTGTTGGTCACGTGGGCGTGGGCAAGTCAACATCACTTCTTTCCCCTTTTTTGACCTACAAAAAGAAGATATACCAATTACTTCATGCAATAAATTCTTAAATAATAAACAAAGTACACAAAACAATAAGAGGTACACAAATACTTACATAAGAGCAATAAAAATGTTGTCTTCAACGTCGCTTCTTGCACCAATGATAATAATAACCTACAGGGAGATAACATGATATACAAATTTAACCATTTAATACGTAAATAAGATTAACAGAAGTACACAAAACAATAAAAAACAATAAAAGAGGTACATAAATACTTACATAAAACTGTTAGTCATCTTTAGCTTTGAGATTTTTCCACATAGCTATTTCAGTGGCACTCTCCTCACTTCCACTTTTCTTGCACTTGATGCGCAGATCATTGGCTGAGCGATGGTGTTCTCTAAACCATTTTTCACTGCAGGAATAGGGTCCCATTTTGGAAGAGGTAGTCCAATAACACTGATGGTTATGAGGTTGTTTAGATTGGAAACACTTAGGCGACTTCTGCTCTCTGAACATATCAGTTTCATTTTCGAAAAACCCCTTTCCGCTTCTGCAGAACTCACTGCAATTGTTCTGACAATATTTTTTGCTTTTTTGATACTGTCAGGAATTGCATACCTCTTCGGATCTTTTAAGACAATCTCAACAAAATCTCTATAGTCGTTGATGTCAATATTGTAATTGAAAATGTCAGTAAATGTGTGCAGTTGTCCTTCAGCTGCTGCCCATGGAATGACTATTTCCTCGAAATCCCAGTACTCTGGCACCAAAAACTGTAGAAACTGTAGTTTGTTTGTGGTGTCTTGTAGTTGGTTCCCAGTTTTTAAATGGTCACAGTCCATCAGTCGTTTCTGCAAATTTTTGATGATACTTTGTAAAAGTCTTTCTCGATGAAGACCAACAAATCGATGGTTTTCTATGAAGTTTATATTCCTGAAGGTTTCTGATGTAATTAGTTCTTCAACTTTTCTTTCGTATGGGCCCTTTCCCTTTGTTAGCAGTTCAAATGCCTTTACTGATCTTCTCACTAGTTTTTCAGCTTTTATTATGTCCGTATTGCGTGCTTGCAGTGCAGTTGAAAGAAGTGAAATTTCCTCCAAAATGTCTATCATCAATGCCAAATCATTTAAAAAATATTTATTTTCCAGATGGGCAGCCATACCTGAGTATTTTGCACTCCCATGAAAATATTGATGTAACACAGGATAAGCACGCTACACAGCTATGGTTGTCCGTAAATTACAGGCAGCCCATCTTGGCCCAAAAACTCGACCAATCCTTATAATTTCAAGTTTTTCAGATATTTCATCAAGTTCCATTCGGTTTTTATTGGACTGCTGAAAAATAGAGTATATATTATCAATAAAAATTTTAAAATGATTTACTTGTTTAATTTCTTTTATGTCGTCATCTAAAACAAGTTGGAGGCGATGGTTCAAGCAGTCCCATATGATGATGTTTGGAAACTTGTTTGCTATTCTGGTGCTCACTCCAGATTTTCTCTCAAGCATAACACTGGCACCATCAGAGCAGAACGCTATTAAATTCTTTTGTAGGTTGTCCCAGGTAAAGCCAACCTTATGTAAACTTTCAAAAACTGCAGAACATATTGTCTCTGCATCTTGTTTCTTCAACTCAACAAGCTCAACAAAAATAGTTGGTGGGTCCGCTGAGTCCTCAACTTTTAAGAAAACTATCAGAACCGATTTGCAGGATACTGTTGAGGCTTCATCAATGATCAGACATATCTTCAGATTACATGCAATGATGCTAGAAAACATTTGGTTTTTAATTTCATTCGCAATGCACTCAACTATTTTACAACTGTTGGCCTTGAATGCAATCCTACTCCCAGATCTACTCCATTTTCAGTTTGTAATTCTATCAATTCCTCTATGCTTGAAATTGGTCTGCATGCTTTTGCCAGGCTGTAAACAGTTTTGAACATTTTAGAAGTGGTGCCAAATTGCCTTTCAGAAATCTTGTCCACTGCTTTTGTTATGGCTTCCTGCTCAGCTTGTTTTACGTTGTCTCTACAAATGGTGTGTGATTTCGATACAAAATGTTCTCTCATTTTCTTCCGGAGAGACGCCTAACACACTTCCTTGTTTTTCCCTGTCGGCTCAATCTTGAAAAGCTTCCACTCTTTGGACACATGAATACCACTCTCCATTGCGAAGGCATGTTTCGCACAGTATGTACAACCCAGTTTCTTGTTTGAAACTTCTAAGCTTCCAACTTTCTCTTGGAAGTAGCTGTACTGTTGCATGGTCCAGCAGTCTGGAAGAATGCTTCCGATTTTGGGTGCAGCGGGTAACTCTATACTTGATTTGCTGCTTTCTTCGGTTTCAGGTGGTGATGCTTGTGGCACAGGAGATGGTTTTTGTTCCACTTCTGCTGGTGGTTGTTCAAGCTTTGGTTTCTTGGCCAAGAAACCCATCAAAGTCTGTTGCCTTTTCATCCTTCCTGTTAAAGGTGGCAGCTACTGCAAAAAGAAAAAAAACAGCTTTGTTAGCTGATGACACACAATGTGAAAGCAAACAGAATGCCTCAAAAAGCCGAAAAAACTAACCTTCACACAACACAACACAACTGGCTCACTCACAATGCAAAAGAAGCTGTGCCAGACCCAAAATGGCCTCTGCAACAAGCAGGAACCTCACACAGCCACAAAAAAGCCCAAAAAACCAACTTTCACACTTTACACACACACAACACAACACACTTTACACACATAAAATTCCACATACAGCTTTGTGAGATTTTGTGTGTTTGTGTAGTTAGAGTGAAACACTACAGAAACACACAAAATCTCAGAAAGCTGCACAAATATTATTTTATTTTTATTTTTATATAAAAGCAGCTAAATCTAAAACTTCCTAAACTTTAAATGGCTAGCTCTAAAAAAAGATCAACTAAAAAAAACCCAATTAACTATTTTTTTAAAGCTCCCAAAAGGGGAAAAACTTACCCAATTGAAGGAGAAGTCAGGCAGGCAGATAGAGCTGCTTACCAATGAGCTTGATTGCAGGCAGAGAGATTCAGTTGCTTGCTGATGCAATGGATTACAGCAAGTGAAGTAAGGCAGGCGTTGTGACCAGTGGCTCAAGATTCGGTCCAAAGAGCGAAGGTAAACAAGCTGGAGGCTGGGGGGAAAGGTGGGTGGTTAGCTAGGTGGCTTAGCTAGGCCAGGCAGGCAGACATGGGGACCTGGGGACCAGGGGAGTAGCATGAGGCCCGCAAAAAATCCCGGAAGCTGCGCAAAATACATGAACCCGGGGATTGGGGAGGCAGAATGCTAGGCCGCAACTGGCAAAGTTTACCTTTTTGAGCGAGCAGCAGTCAGTGAAGTGTCTGAGTGAGGCGAGGCGAGGTCCGAGCAGCCAGGCAAACGTCTGGGTTAAGTAGCTGGGCAGCGTAGAAAGGGGAATTTATATAAGCCGGGGGTGGGTTGGGTGGACTGGAAGGAAGCGTCGAATGGCTGGAAAAGCGACTGGTGCTGAGTGGCGGGAAAAGTGAGTGAGTGGTCAAGCAGGCAAGCGGATGACTGGGCGATTGGGTGGGCATGAGCGGGGGGGGCCAGGGATTTTTGCTACCGGTTCTCCGAACTGCCCGTCGCCATCGCTATCTACTCGGCCGAGCCGGTCCGAACCGGGAGCATTTCTCCCCTGGTTTATATGCAGCATGAAATCACATACTTTGAAGTAATGTTTCATGTGTTGTTGCTTATCTTTCTTCATTCTATGTGAATTTTGAATTATAATAATTGAGTAGTAAAGTTGCTAAAACAACTCAAACTATCTGAAATAATCATATCCTTCAATTGTCCTAATCTGAATTCATATTATGACATTAATAATAATAGACCCTGTTATTAACACCAGCTGCCTGCAATTACTGCAGGTTCGAATCTCACCAGGCTCAAGGTTGACTCAGCCTTCCATCCTTTCTAAGGTAGGTGAAATGAACCAGTTGTGGGGGCAATAAGCTGACTTTGTATAAATATACAAAAGTATGAAGGCTATTGCTTAGCGCATTGTAAGCCGCCCTGAGTCTCCGGAGAAGGGCGGCATATAAATCAAATTAAAAAATAAAATAAAATAAAATTTCTGAAACCAGGCCAGATAAACTGTGACCAGAAATATTCTGATATGGTTTAGATTAAATTAAAGTCTATGGCTAATGATGTTGTGTTTTTGCTACTATATAGGTGGGTGTGCTGGTGTTATATTTTATTTTCTGCATTGATAGTTAATTTCAAATTCTGCATATATTTGATTGATCTATTCTGGCTCGATGATGTAAGATCATTCATAGTTAGATAAATGAGATAGATAGATAGATAGATAGATAGATAGATAGATAGATAGATAGATATAGATAGAGAGATAGAGAGATAGATAGCAGAGATCAAGAAAGAGAAAAATAGAGAGACAGATAACATATATTAAGAATAGATAAAATATCAATATGAACATAGGAGCAACTTTAATTTTTTTCTCCATCCCTTTGAATCAATTAATGAGACAAATTTTTTTTTACAGTCTTCAATCAAAAGGTCTTCAACTGGCTATTGGGGGTGAATCACTCGTCCCCACGGAGAGGGCTCGTAACTTGGGCGTCCTCCTGGATGCACGGCTGTCTTTGGAAGATCATTTGATGGCCGTGGCCAGGGGGGCTTTCTATCAGGTTCGCCTGATATGCCAGTTGCGCCCCTTTCTAGATCGGGACTCCCTACGCACAGTCACTCAGGCACTCGTCATTTCCTGCCTGGACTACTGTAACGCTCTCTACATGGGGCTCCCCCTGGGGTGCACCCGGAGGCTCCGGCTGGTCCAGAACGCGGCCGCGCGGGGGATTATGGGGGAGACGAGGCACTCCCATGTGACACCTCTCCTGCGCTAGCTGCACTGGCTCCCGGTGGTCTTCCGGGTGCGCTTCAAGGTGTTGGTGACCACCTTTAAAGCGCTCCATGGCTTAGGGCCGGGGTATTTACGAGACCGCCTTCTGCCACCAATAGCCTCCCACCGGTCAGTGCGCTCACACAGAGTCGGCCTCCTCAGGGTGCCGTCCGCCAGACAATGTCGGCTGGCGACCCCCAGGGGGAGAGCCTTCTCTGTGGTGGTGCCCACCCTCTGGAACAACCTCCCCCCAGAGTTACGTACAATAACAGACCTCCGGATTTTTCGTCGGGCCCTGAAAACCCATTTATTTCAACTAGCTGGGCTGGCTTGAGTCAAATTTTAAACTGATTTTAAATTGGAATTGTTTTAATCACGGCCAAAAGATTTAATTATTTTAATCAGTTTTTAGATTTTGTATGTTTTGTATGTATGTCTTGTTTTTATTTTCGGCTGTTCACCGCCCTGAGTCCTATAGTGGAG